GCCCTTTTTTTGTGCTGATGGTGTGCTGTAGCCTCCTTTTGGCTTTAACCCCTTGGTTCTGGAGAACTGCTGGCAGTCTGTAAAGCAAAGCTCAGCACCCTGACAGGATTCAGCTTGGACTCAGAACGTTTACTGTTTCTGTTTTCAGAACAGTATTTCAGTTTTTCCTCTGTGTGTGATACCACCCCTAGATGTAAGAAGAAATCTGAAATCCCCCTGAAGCAACACGTGTGACTGTTTTATATCGGATCATGGGGTTAGAATAGGAATATCTTCCCCCACTCAATAGGACCTGCATTCTTAATGTCTCACCTTTCTGTTTGTAGTGGAGAACAAAGAAACACTGAAGCATTTGGCATCTGTATATGCAAACAACCATCCGTCGATGCATTTAGGCCAGCCAGGATGTCCAAATAAGTCCGGTAGGTTTGGTTCAATCCTTTGAACCCCTGACCACTTGTGCTGGGTTCTGCTAGGGGCAGATCAGTCTGATTGCTGTGTTCTTACTCTCACAGATGAGAATATTCCTGGGGGTGTGATCCGTGGCTCTGAATGGCACAGCCACCTGGGAAGTATGAAGGTACTTCATCTCATCACAACGCTTTCCTTCCTTGCAGATATGTCTTTAAATTTGGGCAAAACCTCAACCATCTTCAGCTGCACTCTGGGAAACCTTTTAAATGCTGTCTCTTGTAACTGTGGTGGTTTTGTTTCAGGATTTCAGCGTTACATTTGGTCACTGTCCTGAGATCACTGTTTATACCAGCTGCTGCTACTTCCCCAGCGCAGGGCAGCTCCCTGGCCTGTGGGCAGAACACAGGAGGTCTCTCCTTAGCATGCTTGTGGAGGTGAGCAGTGGTCTGGGGGCAGAAATCCTTGTTGGCAGTGAAGGTGTTGGGATGGGTGCCTTTCTTTCTAGTGGGCTGAGCAGCCCTTGCAGTATTACATAATCTTATTTCTTAAGGGAGAAGGGAAACGTCACGGTGGGGTGATGGTTAAGGTTGCTGAAGAGCATGCTATATTTTAAGGGGAGGCTAGATCCTGTTTTAGTTCAAAATACACCTTACACGTGGACTGGAACATGAGGCATTTGAAATGCTTTGTTTTGTTTCAGGTTCACAAGGGAGTCCACGGATTTGTCCAAGACAAGAGTGGCAAGGCAATTTCTAAAGCTGTCATTGTTCTTAATGAAGGCTTGAGGGTTTGTACTAAAGAAGGTGGCTATTTCCATGTGCTGTTGGCTCCTGGTTTGCATAACATCAATGCTATAGCTGACGGGTACCAACAGAAGCATATGCAGGTATGTGAACATCTATTGGAGCTCTCCTCCCTTGCTTTCATATGAAGGCATCCATCCCTAACTGCTCTTACCTGGGCTGTATCTTGTTGGCTGTGTTTACCTTCTGGCTACAGTAGTTGTCTTCTGCCTTGTGGTAATGGAGAAGAATTTCTGAACAAGGCAGAGTTTTTCTGGGCAATAGTTTTTCCCTACACTGCATTTATCTTTAGTATCTGCCTGGTTCTGCCCTGGGCAGCAGATGTCTTCTTTTTTTTTCTTTAGACACCTACCAGATGTGTGAACATTGAGACAGACTGAGTCCTTGTATCTTTCCATAGGTCTTGGTACGTCATGATGCACCCAGCTCTGTGTTCATTGTATTTGACATGGAAAACAAGATATTTGGTCTGCCAAGGGAGCTGGTTGTAACAGTTGCAGGTAAAGTGATAGCTTCATTCAAAGCTTTGAGCCTCATTTTCTGGGCTGGTTCATTCTGACAGTAACCCTTATTTTTTTATTTTTATTTTTTTAAACTGGATTCTGGAAGAGTAGCCTGCAGCATTGAGTTTCCTCCTCCTGTTTTCCCTTCTGAACACGTGCTTGGCCCTGCAGACTGGTCCAAAAGCCTTTTGCTCTAGTGATGCTGGGCTAGCAGATAAAGACAGAGGAAGTGGAGAATGTTGCAGGGATCTGAAGGGTCCTGAATGGACCTTGAGATGGCTAGAAGGGGGAGAGCCTGTATGTGCATAGGGCTGGGACCTAGCAGATCTTACATTTTCCCTAGGCCTCTTTGCATGGTCTGGCACTGGGCAAGCACTAAGGAATGTATATGTTTCTGTCATTGTGGCTGCTGCTGGGGAAGCTGGGGTTTGTTCCCAGTGTACTGCAGAGGAGCTCACTGATGTTATCTTAAATTGCTAGCCCAGAAAATGTAGTGCTTCTGTACTGTGACTGAGCTCCTTCCTCCTGGGGCACAGAAGCGAGGAAAGCAGCTGTGATTGTGTGAGGGAGGATTGATACTGGAGAATGTAGAAGCCTCTGAGGTGAGGAATATAGAATTAAATTCAGTGTCTTCTCTCTGGCAGGTGCAAGTATGTCAGCTCTGATCCTCACTGCCTGTATCATCTGGTGTGTCTGCTCAATTAAGTCTAACAGACACAAGGATGGCTTCCACCGCCTGCGGCAGCACCACGACGATTACGAGGATGAAATCCGCATGATGTCCACCGGCTCCAAGAAATCCCTCTTGAGCCACGAATTCCAGGATGAAACAGACACTGAAGAAGAAACATTGTACTCCAGCAAACACTGACACCTCCCTGAGAGGAAAGGAAGTTTCCATGGACTAGCCCCAGCGGGAGGGAAGGGTGATCCCTCTGGATCAGTTTTGAGACATTAACTTGCAGGACTGTGTTTGGGTGGCAGCTCCTGACTTCCTTCTGCTGTTTGCTCTGTTCCTATGTACATGCAAATCAGTGGGTGTTAGAGGCTGTGTTTGGGTTAAGGGCATGGCTTATGTTTTTAGGGCAAGGTCTGGAGGTTCACATGACGCTGACTGAAAGGTGATTAAGCAGGTTGGCCAGCAGAGTTCCTAACACTTCCTCAGCATCTGAACACTGTGAGCAGATGGTGGGGAAGTGTCCCAAGACCTGTGTGGGGTCGTAGTCACGACACTCTGAAGTGGTATCTACCTGTTTTGATTTCATTTTTCTTACTGTGTGTGGTGGAAGCCTTGATCCATCACCAGCTCCACGTTCTGCAGAGCAGCCCTTGGAAACAGCCTGTACTTGCTTCTCAGCTGCTCCCTTGGAGTTTTTCCCTACCTTGAGATGCTGTGCTCAGCCACACTGCAGTGGTTGTGGAGCACCTCTAATGTGTTGCTAGTTCCAAGCGGTGATATGGCATCCTGAAGGCTGGGGGAGATGACATCAATTCTTGGTGTGAACTGGAGGAAGGAGCAGATGTCAGAGCTTCTGCGAATTCTGACCAAGTTCAGCAGCTTGTCAGCTCTGCAGAACTGCTGTTCCTGGTTCTGGGGAAGAAAATTTTGTCCCCATCATACCTGGTTGCATCTCATTTATGTGGGCTTGGCTTTTGGACATGTTGGTGTTTCAGCAGTGCAGTGTCTGAAAGCACGACTGGAGGTTGTTCTGAGCATTATTGGAGTAGCAGAGAGAAAGGGTATCCATGGCCTGACTTTGGTCTTGACTTTTGAAGAGCAGCTGCACCCTTTGCTGTTGTGCATTTAATACCATTTAGTGATCAGAGCACTTGGAAAACAATCTCTCATCAAGCTCTGGTGATGCTAGGCACCAAATTAGCCTGCTGGCCTTAGTTCTGCTACTACAGTGTCCCTGAAGTATGTAGCAAGAGCTCCACCTGCTTGTATGTCTGCAGCGTGCTGTGGAGGCCTGAGTGCAAGGCATGAGGAAGGGCTGAGTGGCTGTGCTGGAGGGAAGAGCAGCCAAATTCTCTTCTGGAGCACTGAAGTAATTGGAAAGAGGAGCTGCAATGTGCATCTTTCAGCTGCGTTGAGTTTGTGGGGCAATGAAGGGTGCCCAGAAGGGCAGGATGCCCAAGACATTTGATTTCCAAAGCCTTCATATATTTCTGAAGTTCTCGTGCTTTCTGGGCAGAAGTCTGGGGTTAGAATTAGGCACTTATTTCCTTGCTGCTCATGCTTTTTTGTTTATTTCTTTTTCCCAACGGACTGAACTCTACAGTGCCTGGAGCACTCACTGCCTTGGATATCCCACGTACCCTGAGCTGATCTGCCTCCAGCAGGCCAGGGAGATCTGCTCCTGAGATCTGCATGGGGCAGTGCTGGAGTGTTTGCACCCAAATGTGTGATGAGGGCTCTGGAGGAACAGCACAGTAAATTCCCTGTCCCAGGCTGCTGGTCCCTATCTTGCAAGGAACCCCACAGGTGGTAGATGCCTCTCCAGAGCCACGGGGCTGTGGCTGTGCTGAAGGTCTCGGCAGCTGCCTGGAAGGTTGAAGGTGACCCTTGGGTGGCTGCAGACCTTCCTCCCTCATCTGTGGTGTTGGTATAGGGCAAGAAGCACGCAGTAAGATCCAGCTGGAGCAGTGCTCTGGGAACAGGGAGGTGATCGTCCACACTGCTGTCCTGCATCGCTGTGGTGTGAATGAGCCCCTCGGTGCCTCTGCCCTGCAGAGCCCACGCGGGGTCCCAGCTCCATGCTGGGTTTGGTGCTGGACTGTGACTTAAGCAGCTCCTGGAGCGCTGCGTGGGCAGAGCTGTCCCCAGCAATAAGTCCTTGGGAATCGACACACGGGAGGTGAGCGGGGCTGATAGGGCCGATGGTTTTGTAGCCGTGTGAGACTTCTCTGTGCCGCAGTGGTGCTCAGCGTGCCGAGGAGCCCATCCGTCTTTCTGTCCATCCGTCCGTCTGTCCGTGGAAGCGTCTGCCCCACGCGCACTGTGCCTTCGCTGTACGTTTCCACGAGGGCTCGAAGCGCCCTTCCCGGGGAGGCAAGGGTCGGCGCTGCCCCGCGCTGGGCCCTCGGGTCGTTTTTTACCTGTATACCAATAACCTGTATAAAACTATTTTGATGTCCGCCCGCCTTCTCTCGTTCTTCGCCCTCTCGACGTCGCGGGGACGGGGGCGTGCGGTGCCCCGCGCCTCCCATTCGCTGGGGGGCGCTACGTTGGGAGGTCCGGCCGTCCCGTCGGGCACCGCGCTCGGAGGGAGGCGCTCTAGCCAGGAGTTCTCGGCAGGCGGCGGCTGACGTTGGACAACAAAGATGGCGGCGGGGAGCAGCAACTACTGGGAAGGCGAGTGGGGCCGGGGCGGCGCGGGGCGCTCCCGGGACACGAGGCGGGCAGGACTAGGCCTCCGCCGGGTCTTCTCTGCTCGCTTGCAGCCGGAGGGTGCGGTGTTCTTGTCGGCCGCTCAGCCGTGAGGCGCCAGTGCCCGGCTGAGCCCCGCGGCGGGGAGGCCTCGGGCCGTGTGGGGCGCGGCCTGCGGGCCCTCAGCCTCCGTTCTCCTCATCCGTCCCTTGGGGCCTTCTCTGTGTGAGGGCTCCGCGGGGCTCCCCGGGCGGTCTGGGGCTGTGTGTGACTCCCCCCCGCACCCCCTTCCGTGCAGATCTCAGGAAGCAGGCGAGGCAGCTGGAGAACGAGCTGGACCTGAAGCTGGTCTCCTTCAGCAAGCTGTGCACCAGCAGCCGGGACGGGCGGCGCGACAGGTATAGGTACTAACACGTTTCTTTACGTTTTACTTTGCTCTTTGCAGCATTTGGTTCGTGTCAGTGGTTTAATGCTGGTCCCCAGTATCACCTGTGGTGTTGATGCACAGTTGCTTCAGAAGCTTACTTTGTGGTGCTGGAGTTGGGCTCTGGGAAATGTCTCTTTCAGGTGCCAGATGGACAGGTGTGTGTTTGTGTTCCACCTGTGAGAGCACACAGGGCAATGGGAGAAGCTGTATTTAAACTTCAGTTTGTAGTTTATGGGATCAGCACAGCTTGGGTCAGAAGGGTCCTTAAAGATTGAGTTCCAGCCTTCCTGCTGGCTGTCACTCAATTGTGGGGGAAGTGTGTGAGGGAAGGATGCGGCTTCCTTAGTGCACAGTACAGCTGCCTGCATTGTTTCCTACTTATCCCTGCATTACAGTTCTCAGGGACTTCAGTAAATGCTTTGTGCTCAGGCAGCTCAGCCTCACACCTCACCGGTGGGTGGCTGTGGTGCTGGTGGTCCTGTGCAGGGATGAGGGAATTGTGGCACGGGGCTGCAGTGACCAGCCCAGGGAGGACACCAACAAAGTGGGGAAGTGAAGCAGTCAGTCTGTGGCTGTCCCTTCCCCAGGGGTGGCTGTTATTTCTGATTTCCTTTAAGGTAAGTCGTAGTAGGGACTGGGACGGGGAGAGCTGTATGTATATGTTTGTGTGTATGCATAACAGAGTTTGTTTGAAGAAATTGTTTATTTAGGCAGATTTGTATTTGACTGAGGATTAATATGATAAAACTCACCAACTCTTTCTAGCTTAAGGACTCGATCTGAGGCCTTTCTGCAGTTCCACAGCACCTGGCTATCAGCTTCTTTGTCCCCATGTGCAACCTTTAAAAAGTGCCATTCTTTGCCTGCTAATCCTGGATCCCCACATTGCATCTCAGTTATCAGAGTGATTACTGCTTGTATGTGTGTTGATTTCAATTCTTTTTCAAATCAGTATTTACTTTCTATCCTTCTCAGGTTATGTCTTGATATGTACAAACCTGTGTATCCTACAGCCTTGTGTGCGTTTTGTCTTTTGACTAAAAGTTGCTTTCATTACCAAATTAATTGCCCATTCCTTTGAATTTTAAGAGTGTTTCTTGGTTTTCTACCATGGTGGGTTGGGTATAAAGTTTCTGGAGGGTGAAATGATTTTTTTTGAATCTTCCACTGAATTTCTGTCCTGGAAACCTGAGAGCAACTCAGGAATAATCATGTTGCGCTCGAGTCAGATTGTCTCTCTCTTAGCTCTGGGATATATAACTTGCTGTTTGTTCTAATTATCTTACTTAGTTTTGCCATCCCGCACAAGATGTTCTGATCTTGCTCTGGTTGTGGAGATAATCATTTGTTTGGTGTCATTTCTTTGGTGTATCTTCCAAGGGGAGGTGCTGTTTTCCCCAAGTGATGCAGGTTGTTGTATGTTTTGATAACTTGCCTTCTTTTTCCTTAGCTCTGACACCACTCCTCTCTTAAATGGGTCGAGCCAGGACAGAATGTTTGAGACCATGGCTGTGGAGATTGAACAGCTTCTGGGAAAGGTAATACACAAACCACTGGTTTTTAAATCAGCATTTTGAAGCATCACAGTACAGGTTCCTGTGATGAGTGTTTAGAAAGTAATAGCATGGGTGGTAAAGAAGTGTTTCTGATGGTGTGCATCTGATATAAGGGGAAGCTCTTTCCCCTTATACACTGTACATTTCCTACAGTAATAAACAGTTTCAGGTTTTTGTGTTGGTTTGTTTGTTTTTCCCCTACAGCTTACTGGAATAAATGACAAAATGGCAGAATATACAAACAGTGCAGGAGTCCCATCCCTGAATGCTGCACTGATGCACACATTGCAGCGTCATAGAGACATCCTGCAGGTAACAAGCACGTGTTCCTCTTGTGTTTCATTTCTTTGGAGTAGTTGTTAGTGTTATTAGCAGCTTGCTCAGACGCACTCCAGATTTCTGTTGGCTGGGAGAAGGATCTGTGAGAGCCCAATATGAAAGAAACAACAAATCTGATTGATTGAAAAACATCTCCCCTCACATGGGCTGCAGGCACAGGGTCTGAAAACATTCTTACAAACAAACTTCTCCAAATGAGGTCGGGGTTTCAACAGCCTCACGTGTGCTTGGAATGTGATGTGAATTTAATAAGGTGGTCTTTGCTGAGGGCTAACATTGACAGAGATGGCAAGATTTGTGTGTCTTGCTTTGGAAACTTGATCTCAGGGCTCTAACTTTGGAGTGATTGTTTTATTGCAGGATTACACTCACGAATTCCACAAAACCAAAGCGAATTTCCTGGCAATAAGAGAAAGGGAGAATCTGCTGGGATCAGTACGAAAAGATATTGAGTAAGTTGCATTGTGTATTGCAGCAGTGCTGTGGGAGTGTGCCAGAAGGGGGAAGGCAGCACCTCCTGTAGGAGTGTGCTTGCCTCGGGTTAATCCTCTGCACTCTGAGCAAAATGAGAGTGGTTCCTTGAGTTCACAACTCTTCATGAGCTTCTGATAGAAGTATTTGATGGTTTTGTTTGCTAATTTTAACTGTGAAAATGAAATCGCGTTTGTAGAAGTAAAACTGTGAAGCACAGATCACTTAAAAAATGTTTGAGCGTGACCAAAGCTTTTCTGGTTGGTCATCTCAGAGCAACACAGCACGACGTGTACAGGAATCAGTAATGTCTACTGAAAAGCCTCTGCAGAAAATGTTTTTCAATGTTTGTTTTTTGCATTTAGATCCTATAAAAGTGGGTCTGGCGTGAATAACAGAAGAACAGAGCTGTTCCTGAAGGAACATGAGCACCTTCGGAAGTAGGTGTTACTTTTATTTCTGGATAACTTGCACATTTCCTTATGGTGAAGGTTGCAAGTTTTTCTGGGGGGTAAAACATTCCGAATTCCAAGTGTGGGTGAGAACTTTGTGATTTTTCCTTACCTCTAACAAATGTGTGCAGAAGGCAATGAAAGAGACTAATTCCCCAGTATCTGTGAGTTGACTGCACTTCATTGGACGAGGGAAATGAGGTGCTGCCTTTTGATTCTTGCTGCAGAGCACATGAGCTTGGGAGAGGTTTCATTTGTGCATTCCCCACACAGCAGTAGCAGAGCACTGCTGGTGTTCTGTGGACCGTTGGGATGCATAGTCAAGAGGTAGCACTGATGTTTCTGTGTGTTCTTGGCTGTAGTCATGCTAAGCTGCAGCCTCACACCAGAGGGCAGGCTTTCATTTAAAAGAAGGAACGACCTCAGCCTTTCTTTGGGTTGAATCTGTGACTAGGCGTGAATGATCAGAGCATGTAAAGTTTCCACACACACACACAAAAAACAGGAGGCTTCATATTTTGGGGTTGAACATCACCTGGAACGTCATGCTTAAATTATCTGACATTGGTTCCTTAAGGTTAACTGGGTTCCTTCCCGATGTTGGGATTTCTATTTTGAATTATTTTTTTGGAGTGAATACTTCATTAAGTAGTTTAGATAAAGCTACAAATGAAATATTTCTGGAGTTGTAAATTCCACTCCTGAAAAGCTGAGGATCCTCTGAGTGCTCTGTTTTGAAGAGAGGAAAGCTTGAAGTTCTGCAAACATTACCTGAAAGATGTTTTCAGACACTGAAACCAGAGCTCTGTGAGGCGTCCATTGCTTTGATCTCTTCAAACATACCAAGCTCTCTGTATGCTTCAAGGATAAAAACACGTGAAAAATAAGCAATTTCAGAAACATTTCAACCATCTTCTAGGTGATAATTTGAAGGTATCAATCAAGGCTGAAAGAAAAACAGAAAATAGTTTAATATGAGTTGGGGATGTTGAGGAAACAGAGCTCAAACTAATCGTGGAGCAGTACTGCACAGCAGAGATAACTCGAAGGTGTGTGAAGAAGTGTGGAGTAGGAGGAGAAGGCAGCTTTGGCAGGAAATCAAAGCCTGCAAGATGCACAGAACTCCTGAATTGAGGCTCTGTAAGCTTAGATATACGTGCTGGCAGAGGAAGTGACTGAAGGCTGTGTGTGTTTTGAGGTGTTTGCAGTGCAGTGAATGATGGTGCTTGGCTAACTGGTAGAAATAGGCACTGCATGTAGATTGTCGTGAAGGGACAGCAGTGAGAGTTCAGATGTATTTGTGGTGAAGTTGTGAAACTTGGGAAAAGAGCTGGAAAATGGAGATGGGAGCACACAGTGTGCAAGGTATTATTGTGAGCTGCAGAGTGGTGACAGTGCCACAGCAGTGATGTATTGCTGTTGAGTAGTGGAGTACACACTGGGTTGTGACCCTGCTTAATGTCTGATCTCAAGTAGTATGGGGGTCAGAAGTGCCAAAAGCTCTACTTTGTGTGAGCCTTGGGACAGATGTTGGATCTCTGCTTTGTGCCCAAATCTGCCTTCTGACTTTTTAGCCCCATGTCAGACATCATCCTTTCTGGAAAGACTGAGAACGAAGGAGAAGTCTGCCTTCTCCATATGTAGATAATAAGAGGGGAAGTAAAAAAATAATAATCAGTGAGTACAAAAGTCTGATGAGTAAAAGGATCCAACGTACATTAAGCAGCAAGGGAATGAGAGCAGCAGAAGCACTCTGGGCCCTTGGTGTAGCACACAAACTGCTCTCCATTAAGCTGTGGGCATTGGGCATCCATTTGGATTCCCTTCCTCAGGCTGGTGCTGCTGCTGTGTCAGTGCTGCTGGCACGGGCACTGTGCTGCTGGTTCCTCCCATAGCTCTGGGTTTAGCAGGGAGGTGGGTTTGTCTCAGCGTTCCTTCCTAGGGGGGAGAGGCATAAAGAGTGTTTCACCTTGCAATCTGAGTTCTGTACCCATGGTTTGTGGGTTGGTTTTCCTACCTGTGGAGAGAGAAGCAACAGTGCTGGAAACTTTAATAAAAATTGTAATAAAGATTTTAACACCTGTTAATTAAAAAGAGGCAGGAAGGCAGTTCTTGTTGCGTACTGATGTCCTGCTACTGTTTTTTACTTCATACCTCGGCTCTTTTGGCAAGGCAGCTGCTTAAAGAAACATCAAATCTCGCAGCATCTCTAGTTGATTTTTCCAATATTGGTTTCCTTGGGACTGTGCAGTGCAGTAAATGTGTCTGTATGCTTTTGGCAAGGAAGTAAACAAGTCATTCTTTTTCTTGTAATGTTTTCCATCTAAAGGAAACAAGAGTTTTGATGAATAGACGTAGCTGAGCAGTTTATAAACTGCTCTGAAAAGTGCTGCCTCAGTGGATGGAGTCCTGTGGGCTCGATGTGCGCCCTGAGAAGTTCTGCAGTTATTGATGAGCTGTGCCCAAAGTCAGCAAAGAAGGGAGTAATGCGTTTGATTAAATTTGCAATGCTGTGTGTGTATGCAAGTGAGAATGTTTGCCCTGTTAGTGCTGAGTTGTTGGGGAATGGGGAAGGAAATTGTGCTCATCAGCTCTTGCTGGAGCTTGGTTCTGCCGTTGTTGGGTTGCTGTGATTACTGCCTTGCTGCTTAGCTCAAAAATCAGGCATTTGCCCATTTCCAAGAGGAGTGCTGCTGGTGGCTGTGCTGGTGCAGATGGCACGGGCTGATTTCATCACCAGCTGGCTCTGTTTGTGGTGAGCGCTGCCCTGCAGGCCCTCAGCCCAGCCAGGAAGGAGGTGTGCAGCTTGCTGGGGTACGGGGTGAGCTGAGGGGCTGTGCCAGGGGCACAGGGCTGTGCTGTGTGAACACAGCGAGGGTGGGTGGCACGGTGGGAGGAGAGTGAGCAAATCACAGCAGGGTGTTTGCATTCTGCATGCAGAAGAGGAACGGGAGAAGCGAGCAGTAGGAATAGGGGGATTTGCAGCAGTTGTGTCATTGTGCTATAAATAATACATACCTGGCTGGTGGAGATGTTGGGGTAAATCAGTGCTCGTGGGGGACTTTCATAGAACCATAGAATGGCCTGGGTTGAAAAGGACCACAGTGATCATCTGGTTTCAAACCCCCTGCTGTGTGCAGGGTCGCCAACCACCAGACCAGGCTGCTCAGAGCCACATCCAGCCTGGCCTTGAGTTACTCCAGGGACTTCATCCATGTAAAGCACTCTGAGGTATTAAATGTCTCTATTGCTTCTATTGCATTTCATTTTTCTACTGAACTATATCAAATTTCCTGTGTTTTATGGGGGCAGAAACAGCCACATTCTGTAGAGAATAATCACCAGGAAACCGCCTTCAAACTTTGTTGGTAGCACATTTGAACTCCTAACAGAGGGAGTGACTTCTTCACCATTTCTCCCTCTTCCTACTGCTGTTGTTCACAAGTGCTCAGCACTGCTGTGTGCAAGCAGTCAGCTTAATGAGATGCTGAGGCACATTACAGGGATCTTCCTTAAAGTGTTTTGTGGGAGAAGCTCCCAGCATTCTACCTGGCTGTAGTTTCCCATTCTTTGTTACATCCTGCTCTGCCCTGTGGACCATCTATGCTCTGTGTTGTGCTGCTCGTGTCACTGAGGGGTTTTGGAGCATCTCCAGAGTTGGCTCAGACCCAGAGTGCTGCCATGGCCACCCCTTCCACCCCACCTTCACCTCCCATTGCAGGGGGATGCACAGATGCTTGGGAGCAGCTGCTCCAGCTGTTCTCCTCTGCATTTCCATCACACAGAGCAAAGAGAGAGACCGTAAGAGAAACAGCTAATTCACCAATTCCTTCCTCCTTCCCAGGGAGGCTGGGCACAGCAGGAGGGAGCCATGCTTAGCCTCCATGCCTGGTGCCTCAGAACTGCTGAGCTCTGCTGTAGTTGGGCCCAGTAAGGACTTTCTTAATTGCTCCGCTCGCCTCTAAATTGAACTTATTTTGTCTTCATGTCAAAGCTGAATGCTCTGTTCTTGTTGCTTTATTTTCTTAATTTTAATACAGATTTTAGCTGAAGCAGAGCTTGGTAATGAATAACTTTCTTTGCTTTGTAGCAGTTCTGGAAAAAGCCAAATAGATCTGCTATGAAAAGCAAATCCACACTAACCATCAGCTTGGTTTGGGCTGTTTGGCTAGAAGCACTGAGAAAGGTGCAGTTTGGCTGCATACTTGCTGTGCAGTAGTAATAAAAGGCTGCAGTGCTTTGTCTATTGAAGTGGAAGATATAATGCAGGGCAGGAGTGAGGAATCTAGGTTAAAACGTTTCCACGCTGTGATTAACTGAAAGAGCTCGAGCAGCATTGTGTCACCAGTTTCCCAAATGCAGTTAAATATCATTGGCTTCTTTGTCTCTGGAGCAGGGAAAGTTGGGCAATGATTGCATTAGAAGTGCTGGTGCAAGCCAATTGGGATGCTCACTGTAATTACCCTGCAGACTGACTTGTCTGGTGCAGCTTTGAGCCTCCCTAACGCTGAGTTTTTGGGTAGGGCTGTACGTGCCATCCTAGAGGCAGCACAAATAAGCTGGTTTTTAAGGAAGGCATTTGAACAAAGGAGCTTTCTGCTGTCCCAGAGCAGCACGGCAGCTTCCACTCAAGTTTCCAAACCCAGTTCTGTGTTCTCATTCCGCTCTGTCTCCTGTTGCAGCAGATTTGTCTCAGTGCAGTTGCACGTCAGTGACTTCCTTCAGCCTGGTCCCTGTGTGGGGCTGAGTGGGCTCCATTTGTGAGCCTGCTGGCAGAACCTCATGGCAGAATGACACAAGGCTGTGTGACAGCAGCTGCATCACCTTCCTCTGTAGCATTCCCAGCCTGAACGCAGGATTCATGCATCTATCACCACACTGATCCACAAAGCTGGACTGAGCGCAGCGCATCTGTTTTCATGTCTTAATGATAAATGTTTCTCAATAAGTGGAGGCAGTTCTGGAAAAAAACTGGGGAAAAAAAAGAC